CCCCCCTGCCCTGGTCAGATCGCGCTCCTCTTTTCGGAGATCTATCTCTCCTCGACGGAGAAGCCCCGCCGGGCTGGCCGGCATCCGCCTCCCTCGCAACTGTCCTTCGTGCGCTCCTTCTGGCGCCTGATCCATGCCAGCACCCCGGCGCCGGGTGGCGACTTGGCTGCCGGTGGTTCGCCATCTCCCTCCTCCGGCCACCGGTCACCCCGGTCGGGCGGCGGGTCTCCCGTCCAGTCGTTCGGGCTCCGTCGCGCATCGCAATCGACCGGGTCCACGCGTAGCCGGTCACCCTCGCCGGCTGATCGGTCATCGCGACTGCTCGACATCCCGGAAAACCCTGCGGCCGTGGCGGCGGCGGCGGCGGCTGCGGCGGCGGCGGCGGCCGCCGCCGCCACGGCCGAGATCCCCCCCGAGCCCGGGCTATCCGGCACCGAGGAGGAGATCACCCCCTGCTCGTCGTCATCGGCAACCGGGGCACCAGGCGCATCGCAGATTCTCAGTGTCCCGGGAGTGGCGCTCTCCAGCATGCTGAGCGAGGAGACCGCTGGCCCCCCGGCCGGTCGGCAGCCCACGACCAAGGGCCCCGCCGGCACTGGTGGTCCCCCGGGAGGCGGCCTCCCTGCCGAGCAGTCCGATGAGACGGTGTCCCACTTGTCACCGGGGCCGGGTGTGCCTGCCGGCAGCATGAGCATGGCTGTGGCCGCGGCCACGCCCGCGATCGCGCATAGCCCGATCCCGCCGGCAGGTAGCCCGGAGCTCCAGCCCCCGGGGTCCTCGCTGCCCGGGACCCCGCGCGCGGAGAATGTCCCCCCCTCGGTGGCGGCCGGTGTCTCCTCGATGCGGCCCGCCTCGCCGCGTGGTTCCAGCAGCATGGCGTCGTCCTCGCGCCGGCGCTTCTCGCTTTCGCGATTCGCCCGTGGCAGCGGCGGTGCCGGCCATGCGTCGGCCCAGGCCATGGGCGACCCCGGGGCGGCCCTGTCCTCGCGGCCGATCGACCCGAATCTCCTCATTGGGGATGGGCTCTTCCTGCCGGAGGTGCGCGAGCGTGCGGTGCATTTCGTCCGGCTGCGGTCCATTTGTCTTGCCCGTGTGCCGCATTATGGGCGCTTCATCCCGGACCCGGCGGCCGCCCCCCCTGCGGTGGCCGCCACCGCCGCCAATCCGGAGCCCGGTGCATCTGAGCCCGGGACCACGGCCGCCGATGCCGCGACCGCCCCGGCAGTGGACCCGGCGGGCAGCGATGCATCTGGCACAGCGGTTCCGGATGCGGCGGGCCCCCTCGTCGAGGATGCCGCCGCTGCTGTGACGCCGGTCGTCTCGGCGGCGCCGGTGGTTTCCGAGGCCTCGGCTACGGCCGCTCCCCCGGGCCCAGGCTCGGGACCGGATCATCAGTCTCACATCCCGCCCGGTCGGCCTGCTGCTGCTGCCCCTGCCGAAGCGGCGGCGGCGGCGGCGGCCGCCCCCACGCCAGCAACACCGACACCGACGCTGGCAGCCGGCAGCCCGGGCGATGTGGCCGACTCCCCGCCACCCGGCGGCATGTCCTTCTTCCGGTCGCGGCTGCTCAGCATTCGCCGGAGTGTATCCTCCTTCACCGGGGGCCGATCGATCCTGGGCTTCGGTGGCGGTGGTGGCGGTGCCAGTGGTGGCAGTGGCCCGGGCTCGCCAGCCGGCGATGGGTCCTCTGCGAGCCAGACCCCGGGCGCTGGTGGTGCCGGCGCCGACCCGGGCACCAGGGCTGCCGGCGCCGCGGGGACGACCGGCGCCACGGCCGCCACGGCCGTGGTCCCAGCCCCGCGGCCCACCCTGGCGGACCTGATTAACCCGGATCAGCCGACCACGGTGCGGCTCTTTGTCATTGCCACGGCGCGCACCCGGCCGGCTGATGGCGGCACCGCCGGTGTCCTCTTCAATACGCTGCTCCTGCCCTCGAGCCGTGGCGGGGCCCGCATTGTTCTGAGCAATGCCGAGGACATTTGCTTCGACCTGCGGCCGCTGAGCGGTGCCACCAGCGCGGTCATCTTCGATGGCGAGGTCACCATGCGCTTCTATCATCGCCGGAGCTCCGGGCCGCCGAAGCTCATGTTTACCTTCACACTGCATGCCGGTGCGTACGCGTGCATGCGCGTGTACCTGCATGGGCGGGGGCTCGCATGCGTTTGTTCTTCTCAGTGTCACTCTGGTGTCTTTTTTCCTCCCCCCCCTGCCAAAAACAGACTCCTTCCCAAGCACCAAGCCGCCGCTAACTTCTCTCTCTCTCTCTCTCTCTCTCTCTCTCTCTCTCTCTTTCTCTCTCTCTCTCTCTCTCTCTCTCTTTCTCTCTCTCTCT